CCTGGCCTTACTACTAGGAACAAGAAGCTACTAGGGGCTCCTGGCATGGCTTCTAGGAGCAAGGACGCTACGAACGGGGCTCCTGGCATTATTACTAGGAGCAAGGATGCTACTAGGAACAAAGGCCATCGCTTCGAACGGAGCAAAGACGCTACGAACGGGGCGACCCTGGCATTACTACGACCGGAGCAAGGATGCTACTAGGAACAAAGGGCATCGCTGCGAACGGAGTAAGAAGCTTCGTCATCGCTTCGCCATGTGAGAGAGGTGGAAACTGACCGGGCCCTGTCTGTGCGAGGGACTTGTATTGGTGTGAAGCAGCGACGTGCGGAGCTGGAGACGTGTTTTGATGCGAAAGAATGGGACCCTTTGAGATGTTCTGCTTCATGCATCAGCTTTTGGTTGAAGCAATGATGATTTGTTTTGTCTTGCAGGATTTGGGTCCGCTGTAATAAGGTGCTCCGTGCTGAACAGGGGCCAGGGGTGTCCAAAAAGGAACAAAATCATATATTCATATATTATTCTATCTCCTTGCACAACCCGCTTGCTGAGAAATTGTGCTTTTACACACGCACCTCCGAAAAAATGCGCTTGGAATGTTAACGTGATGGCTCAGCAATCTGCACAGGCTGTGCCGGAGAACATGATCTCCCAGACGAGTGTGTCACGGCCTCGGGATGTTCGTCGGCAGAGGAGACCTGCCCACAGGTCCAGTCTCACCAAGGTCAAGACGTGGTCCTTTGAGTATGCTGTTTTTGTATGATCAACTCCCGTAAAATGGAGGTCCAACTGAGTCCAAGTGACCTGTCGGGTCACGAGGTGTGAACCTTTGACTCCCACAAAGAGGTTCATGGGCCCAGTAAGCATGAATTCTTGCAGTGCTTCATCCTTCATGTCAGATGCCCCTTTTGCAGTGCTGTTGCAGCAGATCGATTGGCTAATCCCCCAGAGTCATCCTATTCTGGCGACATGAGCAGCCTTTTTGCAATGGCCTTTTTGACGACTGGGTGATTCTGCCTCAAAAGGCATTCGTATGGCACTATTATATATGGGTATATACTATTGCTTGTGGTACTCATGGGCATGCAGCCTAGCTGGATGTGGTGGAAGAATGACGATGAACGCACCTCCCAGATCCTCCCAGCCATTCGGTCGGAGTATAACTGATTGCCCATGATGGCCTCTATCTATATATAATACTTATTATTGGCTTATTGTTGGCTTATTCATGCTTAATCCCCACCAGCAGTTGGCATATCCCTGGATCCTCTCAATCACCAGAAAGACCATCCAATGCTGTACGTTTGTCTTCACCTCGAAAAACACGTGGCACCCGCCGCGAGGCACTTCCAAGTGGCGCCCGACGGGGCGGTCGAGGTCTTGGGCACCTCCGAGGCCGTACGGAGATGGGCTTTCTTCCCGGTTGGGATTGATCACGCATCGCTGCTAGTAACGGTTGGGCATCGGGAACGGAGCGATGGGACGCGAACCGAACGGGGCGCTCCTGACCTTACTGGGAGCAATGTTTGCTACTAGTAGCAAAGGGCATCGCTACTAGTGACGAAGGCATTATAAGGCATTACTACTAGTAACAAGTTGGCTTGAAGAGAAGTTCAGAAAGGATGGAAATAGATTGATGCGATTGGAGGTACACGGGCGGTTCAGCGCACGTAAGGTCCAATAGAAGAAGAGGTTAAGGGACAAAAAGACAAACACGGTGGTGTTCAGGTGTATGGGTGGTGTAAGAAGTATTGGTGTTTTTCAGTGAACAAGTGGTTTCGGTGAACATGTGACAGTTGAATTGTGTTGTTTCTCTGTGGCCCTTTAAGTGTTTCGGCCAAAATTCCACACAGCTGGTAATTGATCGGTTGGTTGATTGACTGGTTGGTCGTATATCGATCTTATCTAGGCCTTAGATAAGATAGATATCCAATCAACTGAAAGACAAACAAATCCTTTGATGGCCTTCTCCGCCCGCCCGTCCTTCTCCGCCCGCCCATACCTTCTCCGCCCGCCGGGTCAGCCGGTCGGTGGACCCGTCCTCAAAAGATCGGCCTCAAACTTGCAATCGGCCTCAGTTCTGGACTTGAACTGAACAAGTAAAATGATCAACATGCAATGATCAACATTGACCATTCAATTCACCCTTCAATCGGAAGATGTAACATCAACTTTTGCTCCAGATGACACGTCACCTGCCACTTCCGCCAGGCGGTGACTTGTACGCCCTTCGTGCGCGCAGCCTCGTGGTATCCGCACACGAGGGGAAGCTACCAGGCGCAGATGGACTCCATGTGGACGAGGGGTTCACGGCATGCAGAGCCGAGCTTTGACATGGACTTCATAGGGACTCAATGTGCTTGACATGTGCCTGAAACATTGTAACATCGATCCAAATGCGGATTCGACCCAGAAGTAGACTCTTAGTCTGGGCTATATAGGTCTAAATTTGGTTGGTTACCATGTAAATTTGCTTGCTTATTCAACCTGTTGGTGAACTTGCTGATTCATCGTCCAACTGCTTGTGCTGGTTCTTCAACGTCACTCCATTCAGAAAGGGACTTGACTCAAACATGGGCATTGCGGCATTCGACGCAGGCAGAAACGTACTGAAGACATCTCAACATCCACACCTGATTGGTGAATCAAGAATGGACAGACCCCCAAACGCCCCTTGAACTGTCATCACTCCATCTCTTCATCTCCAGTTGCATCGGAAAGCGGTGCTTTCCACGGAAAGTTGAACTGTCATCTCCGGCCAGGTGCTCCATGAGATTGGCCTCCGCTTGGGCCGCAGCTTAGGCGCCAAGGCGCTGTCTCGTCCCGCGCCGAGGTCCGTCCGAAGCGATGTGTCGTTCGCCAGTGCGGTCCAACCTGAAGCGATGTGCTGTTGGTTTTTGCTGTACCGTTATATATCCTATTAGGGTGCCCTTTGCCGGTGTTTTAACTCTGTTTTGGTTTTGTTTTGCCACCAACATGCCATTTGAGCATTGACCAATGGCCATGTCAGACTACAACTCTGCATGTCCGGCTTTAACCATCATATCATATCAAGTTATGTATAGTTTATGAAGAACTTGTAAAACATATATCAAAAACACCAAACCAACCCAACCCAAAAACGGCCTCCACCGGTCTACCAATGGCGCCAGTCTTGCACGGCCGCAGGGCCTCGTGGGCTTTGCCTCGGCGGACCGGTGCGACCGAGACAGACCGCGAAGCGTGACCGGTGACAGACCGGTGACGGCCTAAGTGACGGCCAGACCGAGGAATCAACAGGTTGAACCATGACATACATCGCAGCACGGTTTTTGGCAGTGATCAAGTTCTTTTCGGTGGATGCCTTTAAGGTGATTTGTGGACATGAAGGATTAAAAAGGAGTTATACAATTAGTCCCAGAAAGAAGATGGGGATATATGATATGGACATCAGATGTTTGGTAGTGGGAACAATAGTTTGCTTTGAAGCAGTGCGCTGCTTTTTGGTGGACAACAGATTCAACTTCTGAGCGTAGATGTTAGGATTCTGGGTCATGTCTTAAAGGGGACCCAAGGAGGATGGTGTCAAGGAGATACCTACATGGATTTGTCGTGTATTCATGCTGTACTGTTTCAGTCCCAGCGGTGCTTGGTTATAGATAGTTACTTTGCCCCTGAAAGAGTGCCAACTAGCTTCCCTTCAAAACTGCCTTTTTGTCTTGGGTATCCGAAAATACTGAACATTAATGAACAACATTGCCTTGAACAAGGGACACCCATCAACTTGGGTGGCTAGGGTATTCACAATTGTGACTTATTGCCGTTTCTGGGTGGGGAACGAAGATAGAGGACCGCCTCTTCCCAAATGAGTGTTGATTCAAAAAGTATGGATTCAAATAGTTCGCATCACGGGTGGGTTCTGATTTAAGGGTCAACATTCACTGACCTTCAGCACAAACTTTACCTTTGCTCGGATGCAAATCTTCGGATTCCCGGCACAAAATTGGTCAGCCACTCCAAAGAGCCTCCTTTTGCACCCTCCAGAAAAGGTGAACTAAGGGGTCAGGTAGGAACGATTAGAGATCAGAAAATAGCAGCGCTCGGCCGCTAGGTAATTCTTATGTGGCTTGAAGCTGACATCGAGGGTTCCAAGCATTTTTGTTGTTTCATTTTTTGCATCCAAGACACCTGTTGCCGAATAGATCCAGTACTTTTATCCAAAATAGACGTGGAAGACGTGGAAGACTCTTTTCTGCTAACTGGAGTGTGTTTCATTTTGGTTCAGTCCAAAGGCATCCAACATAATATCATATCTTTGTTTCATATGTTGCCTCATGGATTTTATTGATATTCATGTTCTACCTGGTGCAAACAGGTGCCAGATGCATTTTGATCCGACACCCTATTTCCATCTATTTCCCAGTTCCACCCGTGCGCGCGCGAAATACCCCGTTCACCCGGTACTCGATCACACCACATCTCCACACCCGTTTGAGAAGATCACCCGGTGACCCGTTTGATCTTTCACCGCAGGACGTGGTCTTTTTCGATAATCCTTGCTTCGATGCGTCGGAGCTGGTCCAGGCACCGTGGGGTCGAACGACGGGGGTCGACTCTCGACTCGCGACTCCGTCGTGGATGAGGAGTAGACGCAGAAATGGTTTTGGTGTTCAGTTACAATTGATATTAGAAGCATTTGGACTCGTGCTGTGGAATTGGTTGGTGAGTGTGTCCTATTAGGTCGGGTGTCGGGTGTTGGTGTTGATTTCTAAGATCTATAGCTATGTGAAAGGAAGTTTCTGCAGGATTGCTACGAAGTTGTTTAGGGTGCCTGGTTTGCCCGACTGGTTTGCTTTGTGTTGCTTGGAGTCCCGTGGCCAACCCTTCCCGCTGCGCCCAACGCGCGCTGCGCCCGCTCCACCACGCGCAGGACGAGGACGGGCACCGCGACACGCCGGCGATCATCGGGAGCGACAGCCCGGTGAATCCGGAGGAGCTGATGTTCGGAGAGCTGAGGCGCCGGTGAATTCGGTCCATGGTCCCGGAGTGGAAAAGGAAGAAAGTGAAGGAAGGAAGTGGAAGTATGGGGGGGAAGTATGAGGTGGGGCGCGTCAGCGGCGGAGACACTTTTTGTTTTATAGATGTTATATGTACTTCTTACTATGTGTTTCTTGGAATGCGAGGAAGATTAAGGTCCAAACTTATGACTCGTTGGCTCCACCGGAAGTTCCATCGAATCTTCAAGTTGATAAGGGATCCAGTGTTAATGTGTTTTTTCAGTGTTTTCTTTGGATTTCATGAATCACATAAATAAATACATATATATATATTGTATAGATTGCTTGAATTTTGCGGAAAAGGTCATCATCACTTCATACATACAACTAATGGATCATGGCCTCCGCGTTGAATGCCAATGGACTTCCACCTTCAAAGTGAACAGTTATGCGGCAGTTGAAAGCGTACTTAGCACCCAATCCTTAGGACCCACAGACAGGCAGATTGTTCTTTTACACACCTGGACACCTTGATCAATCATTGAATACCCTGCTGTTTATATGTGTTTTGCACATGTTGCACTGATACTTGTTCTTCACTTACTCGCTTTCTGTTGTTAATAGCATGTTTTGCTTTATAAGTTACGTGTTATCATCATCATCATCATCATCATCATCATCATCATCATCATCATCATCATCATCATCATCAT